TGGAAATCGATTTTGAAACCTGTTTCTAAACACAAAAAGTTTGAAAAATTATTGTACAGTATAAAAGCTGTGTAGACTGTATTGTACAATTTTATTATATTAATTTTTTCATTAGGTGAGAACACTGTGCGCACCATCGCTATGGATGGTACAGAGGGTCTTGTGAGAGGCCAGAAGTGCAAAGATACTGGTGGTCCCATCACAATTCCTGTTGGCCCAGAAACACTAGGAAGAATTATCAATGTTATTGGAGAGCCTATAGATGAGAGAGGACCTGTTGATACAGACAAGTAAGTTATCAGTTTTGTACTGGCGTGTATGGAAAACTAGTTCTTCTAGGAGGAAAATGTGCCTATAATGAAATGAGAAGTGCAGTCATTGTGAGAGTGCTTCCTGACTCAGTCAAACTTTTTTGTGTACAGCAGTTCTATTTTAGTGGTACTTCATGTATGCGCCTCTTTTGCACTGATCAAATTTTACACAGTGATTATTATCTTGAGAACACACACCACAAGTCTTAACTGAGAAGTTGGAAAACACCTTACTACATGGAAGAGACAATAATAAACTATCAATAAATGAAGTTTATTGGTTTAATTAGCGTGACTTACTTGTGTATGCAAAATGTTATTGTTTCTTACTGTCTAACTTTCTTTTCAGACGATCAGCCATCCATGCAGAAGCTCCTGAATTTGTTGAAATGAGCACAGAACAGGAGATTCTTGTTACAGGAATCAAAGTGGTAGATCTGCTTGCACCATATGCTAAGGGTGGAAAGATTGGTATGTTACACTGGGTTTTTAATTACTATTTCAGTTGTCGTCCCAGGGTATTGTCTCCTCAGAAAATGTTACAAAAATAATATTCATCCAAGAGTGATGCCCATTCAGACTAAAAGTGTGCCCTGTTGATAACAGAGGATGCACCTCTCCAAACTTGAATCGGTAGTGGCTGTGGGTTACACCCAAAACATCCAAAAAAGTTTAATTAATGCATGTCAAAGTTTGTAGAATGTAAAGGCGCAGGTACACATGAATCTACCTCTTGGGATGATTGTAAAGGCACCTAAGGTTTGAGATGTATGGCTGTGTTCTTGGGCAAAATGTTTCACTCTTGCTGTCCTACACCACCCCAGGGTAAACAACTGAATAAAAAAATTAAAAGTAAAAAAAGTAAGCATCTTGATTCCAATGATAAAATACCAAAAGTTACAGGTTAAAAACTAAGTGCAATAATAATACAGCTGTTAAAATGCTTGTGGTTTCCCTCAGATGGACAAATATCCCATCAAGGACAAGCAACATTTCAAAATTGCTTCAGGGCAATGTATCTTTATGTACTGCATCTTTAACATTGGTTGCAACAATTCTTTACTAGGTCTGTTTGGCGGTGCTGGTGTTGGCAAGACTGTGCTTATCATGGAATTGATCAACAATGTGGCTAAAGCTCATGGTGGGTACTCTGTGTTTGCTGGTGTTGGTGAGAGAACACGCGAAGGAAACGACTTGTACCATGAAATGATCGTGTCAGGTGTCATCAGCCTGAAGGATAAGAGTTCCAAGGTAATGTTTGAACAACCACGTATATAATGTCAGCTTTGAACAGGAGCTCATCACTAGGAGCGTCCAGTGCCCTTAGTAAGCCTATGTCATGGCATTTGTATGGACTGATTTATTTTTAGACTCTTTTCCTGCAAAAAGGTAGTTCCAGTCCACGTCATCCTGCATCAGTAACTTCAACAAAATAAAATATGCTATTTCCATCCAGAATTTGCTGTATCCAGGGTATTCCATTTCCTCTCATTCCATTCCTTCCTTTCCCCAGATACTGTTTCTCACAATCATTGAGTCTGATATTTGTGGGAAATTCAATCTAAAAACAAAGTGGTCTATGAAAATGTCATGACACAAATATATAGCAGTTGGATGTTCCCATTGAATGGCTCTTGCTTTCATAGAATGATTATAGATACAATGAAATTGAAATTATGGCTGGTTGTGTCTGGCACATGTTGATTTGTGTCTTTCTTGTTAGGTGGCCCTGGTGTACGGTCAGATGAATGAGCCCCCAGGTGCTCGTGCTCGTGTTGCCCTGACTGGTTTGACTGTTGCTGAGTACTTCCGTGATGAAGAGGGACAAGATGTGCTGCTTTTCATTGACAACATCTTCCGTTTCACTCAAGCTGGCTCTGAGGTGTGTACATGTACATACAGTTGGTAAACATGTACCTTCACTTCAGTGTCAAAGTTAAAATTGATTCTTTCCCATTGCCCATACTGATATTGCTTGCTTTCGTCAGAGTGGACAAATCTTATTGTTTTAAAACCTTTCTAGCAGACAGCATGGAAACTGGCTCTCAGTACTGTGCACTAATTCTGATTCACTAGAGTGATGTTTTTCTTTCACTGTTAGCTTGACAAGAACACTACTCGCAATTTTAGGTTTGGACTCATT